GAAACAAGACTGCACCGATTCTGTCCAGAGGAGTCACAGATAGACTAGAAGCTTGTTAATGGAAACTGAAAGAACTGAACTGATGTGAAAATGACCATTAAAGGATGTTCAACCAAATAAGTAGAACGGCTGTATGTATATTTTTGACCCAATAGCTTTTGTCATAATTCCAATGGAATGCTACGAAAGAACCAAAATGCATGATTGCTTTTATTGTGACAAAGATTCACGTGTTTCAATCATTCCATCATAGAAAATCCAGAGTTATAGGAGTCATTGGAAACTCGAGGCTGCCGCGATGTACACAGTCTTTACAAGCGCATGTAAACTTGTTTTCACGACTGTACGTGGGGGGAAGCTGGCTCGTGTTCCGCTTTGTTCTGCAGACAGCTTGGCTTCCTGCTCGGCTTCAGACTGTGATCTTAACAAGACAAAAAAAGCATAGAGACTGCACTTTCTGGCTATAAATAAGATCAATGTCAGAAGCTCTGCTGGTGTTTTCTCAGAGTCTGAAGCTGGAGCGAGACTGTGTCAAACCCTCTGATGGGGCATCACCACGTTCTCTAAATTGGGTCGCACTCAGCAGAAATTCTTTTGACACTGATCGCCAGGGTCTGAAACGAACAGTGGCACCGAGGCGAAGACCAAATAACTGCGACTGGGCTTCAGTTCTCTGCAGAGGGTCGCAAATACCAGCCTGAAGGGAATGTGAACTCCCATAGTACGGCATGTGTGAAGCAGGGCTGGTCCGAATAGCAATTTTTGATCTCCGGACATTCGGTCCTAATTAATGACGAATACCCCGAATATTTGGGAGTGCCGCGCGATGGTGGCGGCTGTGTGTTATTTCCGACAGGCCGGAGTGGGCGTGACGCTAAGACCAGTTTCTGTGTTTAGGTTAGCGGTGACGGCACCGCTTCGTCGGCGGCAGCGGGTATTCGGATCAAGTTTGACATCCCGATTCCAGCACAGCGAACGAATAGTCGGCTATTCGGCTATTCAGGTCCAGCCCTACTGTAAAGGTGTTAAAATTAACACTACACTGTCATAAATTATGGCTTTAAAACTGATTTTAAGTGTAATTTTTGGGTCAGTTTACTGGTATGCTCCAGATTTGTCCATGTTTTGTTAAATTACAGTTAATAACTGGTATAATCACAGGAAAAAGACATGAATTTTCACGTCAACCAGAAAAAAAAACTAAATAATGTCCACAAAAACCTGTATTTAAACATGAAAAAAACACATTATTTTACAGATATTTGCTGTTATTTTCACTGTTTTAAGGTTTATTTCTGGAACACTTGCTGCTAGATTTTTACAGTTTTGTTACGGATTTGTTTTTGGTTTTTTACAGTGTAGTAATTGTTTCTGGTTCATTAATCTATTAAAAATGGAAAAAAGCAGGATTTTTGTTTTTGTACAATAACTTTAAGTATATTTCATGAAGCTGAGCAAAATTCAGCCTTCATATTGTGAATATTTTCAGAGTTACAGGCCCTTGGAGTACATGGGGGTGGGTAGAAAGTTTGCAGATACACTAAAAATAAAAATAAAAATAAAAATCTGCAGATAAACATGAAATTTTCAAGGCTGAAAAACACATTTGAGTTCAAATAAATCAATGTTAC